GCTTTCTGGTCCACCATCCATGCTCAGAACTGCAGGCAGGCACCTTTTCTGGCCCCGAGCGACATTGTTGGTGAGTTGATGAGAGAGAAAGGAGGCAATTAAAAGCAAAATGGGGCACCTCGGCCATGCACATGCCCCCAGGAGAGGCTGGCTTAGGCTCAGTCATCTTTGGCCCAGCACCAAGGGTGCTCCAGAACCCCCATCTGCCTGCACTGACTAGAAGGGATGTGGGGTTGGGACTAAAGGCAAAACTTTGAAGAAGGACAAGTGAAAGCAACTGTTTTGAACTTTACTTTTTTTTTCCCCCTCTTTTTTTTTTCTCCTTTTTCTCCCTACAGAGTAAATTTTTTTTCATTTGGACCCTGCTGACACAAACAAGCCCAGGTTTTGCACCAAAATGCTGGCAATCACCCCTTTCCATCGCCGGCTGGTGTGATGAGCTAATTTTATCCCCTCCAGCTCCCCCCTAGCTCCTAGAGATTGTCCTGTTGCAGCCAGGGAGTGCTAGAAAATAGCACATCGCCCACTCATCCAGCCTCCTTCAAGGGAAATATTTATATTATGCCAAAGAGAGGGTTTCCATGGCAGTGATGACTTTAGCACTGTCGCCTTGGAAACCACTTGAGGCCATCTTGAAGGGTTTGAAATTACCCTTCAGAGACAAATAAGGAGAGGGAGTGGAAAGGCTGGCAGGATTAGAGCAGTGTTTTGGTCTCCCCCAGCTTGCTCATCAGCACCTTGCCCCCCCTTGCTGCCTGGGTGCCTGCTCATGGGTGCTCACTCTGAGTCTCTGCCTGTGCTGCCAGGATGCTCCATACCCCAAGTGTTGCTTCATGTATGAACCCAGGAGAAACGACAGAGGCACTTTGAAAACGGAATTCGTTTGGTGATCACTTCCTCCAGCCTCCCAAGCCAGCCGACAGTGGCTCTAGTGTCAGGGCATTGCTTAGCAAGTGTGAAAGAGCTGACGCCAGCCCAGGAGGTGGCTTCAGGGAGACTTCCCTGGGCCTGCTAACGCCGCAGTGATGACAGTGCCTGTCCAGCCTTGAGCACCATATGCTTCCAGAGGGACAAACCCCCAGGTCTCATGGCTTTTTGGCAGCTCCCAAGTCCTCGTTACATGAAAAAAGCCCCGTGTTTCCCCTGAGGAGTTGCCAAAATCTGAACCACCTGCAAGAGGCGGCTGCTGGCGTCAGAGTGCTCGCCTGGGGTGGCAAAATCAAGAGAGGCCCGTTCCCTCCTCCGCATCACGTGTCTCCCGTGGCTCAGCCCCCACATCCCACCATTTGGCTGACCTAACACTATCGGCCTTTTACTCTCCCAGACTGCAGGAGCTCTGTCACCAGCGGCCAGCCCATCTGGCTCTCAAGGACACCAGGAACACAAGAGGGAGAGCGAAGCTTTCAGAGCAGACGGACGATGAGCTCCACAGTGAAGCTGGTGGTGGCAGGGGCAGCCAGCGACTGCTGCCTCCTCAAGCTACGGGATCGCTTTCTTTATGTTTTGTTCTCCATTTTGCTGAAAAGTATTGGTTGACTTTTAATTTAGTTAAGGGCAATACAAAATACATTTTCTTCCTTCTCCCCGAGCTGCCTCCACACCAAGGAGTTAGTTATTCGCCCAGCCAGGGCTGTGCCCTTGGCACCCACGCTCAGCTCTGCAGTGCACCTCTGGCGCTGCCTCCTGTCTCCCACCCACGGGCTCCTTCATGCCACCCCATGCCTGTCCCACAGCCAAAATCACTCAGCCATGAAAAATTCAGCCAGCTTGGGTCTCCCCATCCTGCTGCCTGTGCCAGGCTGCCTGCTCCTGCCTGTGACTTGAGAGGGTCAAGGTGTTTCAGGGGAGTGAGAGGAATGGGCTGATGGTGACAGGGAGTGACACCCTCTGGGGATTTGCAGCTACGTGTCTGCCTGAAAAAGCTTGGTCTTATTCTGAATCAGCCTGGCCTTTACGCCGGAGCCCAGTGCCCACCCAGCTTTGAGGGACAGTGGCTTCAGCCATCACTGCAGAGCAGGGAAGCAGCAGTCGGTGGGAATACAGCACCCTGTGGTACCCAGGGGGCCTGGGTGCAGGATTGCAAGCCAGGATGGGTACACCCGTAGTCTGTGGCTTTGCCCTGCTGCTGCCAAGAACCCCATGTGCATGTAATGATATTCCTACGCCATGGGATCTGAGGTAAAACAGGTCCCAGAGAAGCCCCACACAGGCAGCATCATAACCTTCCTTGCAGTGACAGTCAGAAATTGATTTCTTTTGGGCTGTCTGCATCACTGTGTATGAGTTGAGCGGTGTGGAGCTCTTTGGCTCCAGCACAGGAAAGCACTCAGTTGTATTCTTCACCTATAGCATGTGAAAATCCCTGTTTATATCCACGCAGCTTCTCGCATCTTGAATGCTGAACACATGGGCTTGAGGACAGCAGGCTCCTTGATTTGCCCAGGAGGGAGACCCCAGCGCTCTGTCATAAAAATTTGCACCTATATATTTATTCATGTGCAGAAGGCGTCCCAGCCAATCAGGGCACCCAACTGTGACTTTTCCAGAGTTTTTATGCCCTTCAAGTGTTCAGGTACAACACAGTTGGACTAATCCCTAACACCCACGCTACCAGCCGCTAACCACAGTAGAACTTTGCAAAGCCACTCTAGTTCTGCAGCGTTCTTGCCACGTGTCTGTTGATCCAGGCGTCCCTGGAGTCGGGCTCGCTCGAGTTACTGATCTGTGATGCCAGGCAATGCTGGGAGGGTTTCAAAGTCGTGTCGGAGGGAGCTGGGATGCTGGTGTTCCTGTGGTTGTCACAGGGATGAAGCTGTCCTTTATCCCTCATGGACAGCTCTAAGCTTTCCAGAGGCAAAGTCCTTTCCAGGGCTGGACTGTCTTTGATGTTGTTCATATTCAAGTAAAACAAAT